AAAAGGTCTGCGCACGCGGATGTTGGTGTTTCACGGAGACGTCCACTAAGTATCGTCGCGCACTAAACTTTTCCTTTGAACGACAGGCAAATTTACTCGCGGAATATTGAAATCTGAATGTATCCGTGGTGGCGCGATAATTAAGGTGTAGTGTTTTCATAACGTAAATTTTTTCGAGGGCTCTAGGTTGGAGGAGTGGCGCAATTCTTTTCGCTGTTCAAGTTTTCTAAACACATTCGATCAGAATATTCTTCAAGCTTGCACAGCAGCTGCGGGATGGAAATGCTGTGTCTGGCTGTGGTTCATGGAATCAGCGCCTGTCCGATATTAAATAAGCGATGGTGCTGCGCACACCGTTGAACACATTCACGCCAATCAATGAATCATTTTCGTTGCGATGGCCGCATCTATGTATTTGCCGTGATTATTATCAATTGTTTCTTATACATACTTAAACACCATGGCGCCCACAGCCAGCCGTAGAACACCTGGACGCCCCAAACATGCACTTGTATCTCTCTACGCGCCACCACCTTAACTCAATCTATTCCAACGAGGAGGGCCAGGCATTATACAAGGTCGAGACGCCGTCAGGAATTGCCTCTCGGACCTCTTCAATCAGCTACGTCGTACCTAACGAAGGCGGCGACAAGTCCATGGTGGACAGGTATGCGCATCTCGCGCAAGTCGACCACAATGCGGTGGCCTCATCAGTGCTGCGCTTCGGGGGCATCCAGTATGAAACGAAGGATTATTTCAGGAAGGAAGGATGGGGGGCACAAGGCCGGTGAGTAGGCACTATATCAGTCCACGTTACGAACTTTTATTCACCACAACTTTCGGTGGATCTTCAGGAATCGTATCTTCACCGGGCCAGATGGCCGTGAATATAAATGGGTTCTTCAGAGCTATGATTGCAACGTAAGTCAGTAGTATAGGATTAAACATTTTGAGGGACACTGATCACACCTGTAACCCGTAGCTCTTCACCAACGACGATGCAAAGACACCGATAGCTGCTTACCACCAGAAAACCTACGGATTTTTTAGCAAAGCACACCCCGCTTCGCTCGAGATTTTCCCAGGAGGCGAGCATATGATTAAGGAGATTCTAATTACCTTCGTCTACATTGAGAAGATACGCAAGGACAAGGAACGGGGAGCGCAGGCGGCAACCTTCTAATGGTCTTTGTAGCTTCGTAAATGCTGTCTTTTACCATCATCCAATCTGATGACCTTGTAATATACCATAGGCCTAGAGAAGCATTTTGGCGTCACGTATAATACTCCCGGTTTGGCTTGAGGTACATGCACAGCCAAGTCTGGGCTGGGTGTTTATGTTGTTACCTTGCTGTGAATTCATGTGTACGGGGCCCTCAGGCCACCCGCTTGTTTTTTGTCGGAACCGCGGCGGGAAAAACATCCATCCACCCATCCACCCATGGTCAATCGACAGACCAGAATTTGAAGGATATGATGCTCGATGATTCTGAATATCACTGAATACATACTTCGCTGCCCGCAAATAACTGCAAAAGTATGGCCGAGACAGGGGTCGAACCTGCAATCTCCTGATGTCGACGGAAGTCGTAGTCAGACGCGATGCCATTTCGCCACACGGCCCACGGCTGGCAGCCACGTGATGGGAATATTAATAGGCCACGCGTCCTGACAATGGCAGAACCGAATCAACGTTGCATTGTGCTTTACCTCGCTGATCTCGACGGTCATCCCAAAAATGTCTGTGGATTCGGACGACGTTTGTATAAACATCACTAACGACCCAGATCTCTACTTTTCCGATGGAAATCTTGTCATTTTAACCCGAGACCATGCCGGCAACCACACATATTTTCGTGTTCACCAATCTATCCTTTCAAAACACTCAAAAGCACTGAGTGACCATATATTCCCCGAGTCACCGGCGGCACCACCAGCTGTACGTGATATTTACGACGGGGTTCCCCTTGTCGAATTTCAGGAAGACCCTAGAGACCTGAACATATTTTTAAAATTCCTCTATGAGCCATTGTACGTGTTACTTAAACATGCCGGCGACGAGATATCCTAGGTTGACCAGTTACATTTTCAGTGCAGCTCCTATACAGAGAGGAGACCCTGATATCGCCTTCAAGATGTACGGCCCCTTGAAGCTTGCCGATAAGTTTCGCATTGATCCTCTGAGAGACACCATTCGTGCGTACATCCGCGAGGACTGGCCCCATACCCTCCAATCCTGGGATGAGCGAGAAGCTCTCTACTCACGCCGCCTAAAAAGCTCCCCAGCATCGACCACCATGGACGACGTCGCGCCCGAGCCCGCGTCCGTCATCCGCCTCGCGCGCAAATTCGAGCCCCGAATATTAGCCATCGCCTTCTACCACCTGTCGCGCCTGCCCATAAATGCGACATATGGGCAGCACAATCAGGCTCCGCGACATGCTCGTGGGATGCGCGGGCACCTATTGTCCCCTGCGGATCGTGAAAAGGCTGCTCTGGGCCGCGAGCGGATGACCCGATGGGCCGCCGACCGACTGGAGGCGCTTCAGCTCGACACATGGCAGTGCAGCGTGGACGAAGGGTGCCACACCCACATCTACTGGCGTGTCGTCGTGCTGCAACGCACAATTATGCGCAGCATGGATGTGCTTACGACCCTGCGGTCTATGCAGAGTCACAAGGTGGAAAGAGGCACGAGCGAGGTGGTGGAGGACGTGGTGTGTCAGGAATGCAACGGGAGATGGGATCAGATACTCAACGAAGCGCGCCGCGATTTTTTCGACTCTCTGTCCTCGTTCTTCCCTGACCTATGATTCTGGAATAGATTCATACCACCCTTAACATGCGGTGTCACCGCTGTACTTATGTACACGCATGTGCATAGTAACAGTGCATTCACGATCCTGGAGTCTGGATTGAGCAGCGTGCTCTAAGGAACAGATTTGTCTTCACGGATCAACTTATGAAGAACTCAAACTCTGTGCCTATCTAACAATAGCACAAATGCCGCATACAGCCACGGTTAACTTACCGATATATCCGACATCATTGATTCATGATTGGCTGTTTTCGCTGTCGGACGATGCAATAATTTTTGAGCAAGAGATGGTGAGTAGAGTTCCAAATGAACTACACCGAGATCTCGAAGAAATCAAAAATGTCTGTCAAGTTTCTCCGATCTGAGCCCAGACTTGCAGCTATTCTGGTCTCTTGACCGCCTCGTGCCTGATGATCTCTGTCGCAATCACTTTGATTGAAATTTGAGAGGTCGTCTCGGGATCCAGGCTCAGCCACGGCTCTCAAAAGTAGCTGCCGCTTGTCCCTGACCCCCACGTTGAAATACCCCCTACGGCGGCAAACTCTGCACTCTAACGTTCATCCTCGCGCTGTCCTTGCATGGGCTCAGGAATCAACTACGCCGACCTTGTCGGGATGAACTCTACTGCGGCAGCTCTGACTTTCGCGGTAGGCTATCTTCCTCTCTTTGGTTGGTTCTTCTGGCAGTCTTTTGGGCAACCGACGTATGTCTTCGTGATCTTGGCCCTTTTCTCTGCCAGTGAGTTCAAGCCTCATCACGATGAGAGCCTTGCAGACTCATGTGCGTCGACAGTACGGATAGTGGCATTCGTCATTCGCGCCATTTTGGCAGGGGTGGACTCAGCAGGGGAAAGCTTGGAGCTCATCATCACAGATCAAGTGCTCTTTGGCGTAGGATTCTTCGGGCTGTTATATTCGGCGTACACGCTTGTCCTTGACAGGTGAGTGCAAGTGCAACTTTTTCCATCACGCTAAACACCCATTCCTTTCAGATGGCTGCTCATCGACTCTCATAAGTCGCGTGGTGGCCCGATTTCGCGTCTGATACAAAATCGCCGGGTATTCAGGGTCCTTCTCCTCGCTGCCGTCGCTCTGGGAATTGCTGCGGCCGTGCAAATTCAATCGAATCCCCGTCAAGCAAGTTCTCTCAGGATAGCTAGCACATCGATCTTCCTTGTCCTAACTGTCCTCACGACACACCAAACGCTACTTCTTGCGCACGCTGAGCTGGACTGTCAGTGTTCCGCATGCTTCCGCGTTCGTTGTTTGAAGCTGAATCCCTCTGAATCTGTTTAGCAAATCGTGAGAATGTGGCACCGCACCCGCCATCCCTTGGAAGGGATTATGGGGCTTATATTCTATGCTTCATTGCTCTTCTTCTCCTCGTGCGGGAAGGGTTCACAACGGCTACTGTCAAGAACCTTGCGAAGCAGTATAACGAACGCCTCTGGTATCCCCTATACGCTCTCCCAGAAATTCTCGCTGTGTATCTGTACGCCGCCCCGGGTCTTGCCCCGCCTCGCTCTGAGCTTCCTGCGTAGAATGTAGAATCGCGTCGCACAAATTCGTCAGTCTACACAGCTCCGCTTCACGGAGATTCGATTTCTCACACTTGAACGATTCGAAATCCGCAGCTTCCGCGGCCTCGTCCCACACGTATTCTCATCAGGATCGCAGTCGGGTGATATTTATCTCCAAGCCCTCCGCGCCACGCATCTTTCACAAACTGTGACTGCGTTACATGAAGTTTACTCATCCCTCGATCCGATGCGATGTCGACTTATTTTTCAGTACGTTTTGCCAATATCACGACATTGTCATGTGGAACAGCGCCACAGTGACAGGCGCTAAAGTGCTAGGCGCTGAGCGAGAAGAAACAGCGTCGGAATTTATTGATTCGATTCGGCGCAGATTGGCCGGCGAATGAGTAGCCGTTGGCCGGTTGTAGCAACAAATTGCGTGCGTGTTTATAATTAGAACCCGGCGGCGGCTTATTTTAAATACCCTGCGGCAGACTTGCGGCAGCGCTGCGCTGCCGCCGCGTAGTACGTCCACTCTCAAATTTCACTGCCTCAGGCCTGTGGTCTGGGAGTCATGACGTCTTCAGTTTTGCTAGGTAGGTTGTGATTCTTCTAGTTCTACGATGTAGCTTGACCATATTTCTACTTCAGTTCCTCCTTGAAAGAACCACGACGCGTATTGTGGCCTATGGTTATCATCATTCATTCTCATGCATCCTATGTTCGCGGACATTCGGGACGGAGGTCCAATCTCTCCGGGGCCAATCTCCCCGATTTCGGCTATTTCGAACTGCGAAATTCGATCGTACCCCGGGAGGCGCGCTTTTGCTGTCAGTGTCAAGTATTTGTTATCCTCCCTTTTGGAGTTTTTACTTAAGGGCCAGGATCTGCATGCCGTCTCTTCAACTCTTCGACACATCCTTCGACCGCTCTCCTGCACGATGAGCTCCCAGGAACTTCCCAACTTCGCCCACCTCTTCGGCATCCACTCTATAGCTGCCGCTAGCGTATTTGCCGTGGCATATTTCCCTTTATTCGGATTTTTCGTCTTCCAATCAATTCGGCATCCTACCTACGTCTTCATTATCTTGTCATTATTCTGCATTGGTGAGGGAGGACGCTACGTTATCTCTTTCATGAGCACTGACTTGACAGCACACAGTACGGATCACCGCATTTTTGATCCGTGCTATTCTTGCAGGCTCAGAAACTGCAGGCGAGAATCTCGGCCTCCTCATCGGGGACGAGTGTCTGTTTGGTGTCGGATTCTTCGGTCTCTTGTATTCCGGATATACCCTGGTTCTTGACAGGTGCGTCTGTTTGCCTGCTTCTTATACGCATCAATTGCTGATATAGTCCTAGGTGGCTTATTACGGGCGTACCCCCAGGCGATGACATTATTTCCAAAATAACGCACAATCGCAGGGTTGTAAGAATATTACTTCTCATCGCCGTTGTTCTGGGAATTAGTGGCGTCACACTTGCACAAAGCGATAACCCCCAGAATGGCACCAGCTTGAGGATCATCAGCACCGTGATCTTCCTTGTCCTTGTCGTGTTCTTGGCATACCAAACGCTCCTACTTTCCCGGATCGAGCTTTGTACGTCTCTGTCGCTATTATTGATAACAGTATTAACGTTTTTTGTTCGCAGCTTTGAAGGATGCGTTCACGAAGAACGCACCGAACTCACCCGGCCATGAATACGGCGCATACATTCTTTGTGTCATCGCTTTGCTACTCCTCGTGCGTGAGGTCTTCTCTGCCGCGACGATCCATGATTTGGCCAAGCAAAATAA